CACAGATGAAAGTCAAGTTACTAAATAAGGCTTACGTCCAACAAGACAATAGAAATTTTCAACATGACTGGTGTGGCCATAAAATTCCTCAAGACAATTCCACAACTCACGATGAAAATTCAAGCCACTCCAGAAACCCTGCAATAGCTGGCTTCAGAGCTGTCCTTTCTTTTCATCTGAGTCATAATGTGTGTGGCTTGTTTAATTTGTTGCCTAATTACCTACGCTTACCACTAAAATTGCTCTTTTCTCTGTATGAGAGTTAAAGGCCAAATCTGGGAGTGGTTTTCAATTCCAAGTTTATGTCACATAGACCATATATTTGATATCCTCAGTTGAATTTACCTTCTCTTTCCCCGCTCCCGTTTCCCCAACACATTGGCATCTTTTTTATTATTATTATTTAAACCCAGTTGTAGGCAACTTTGAACCAGTTACCTTTCCTTCCAAGGTCCTCCTTTTGTTTCCTAGATGTTTTGGAAATAAGAATGTACCAGTACTGGCTGTCCTTAAATGGAGATTTATCACACCATAAAAACATCTCGTTCAAACTGACTGCACTCACAGCTATTTTGCTATGGTGTTCTGAGTCAGTCTGAGAAAGAAAGGAAAAAAAAAGTCTTCCCAGTGACAGCTCACAGTAACATATCCAGCTCACCGGACCCCACTTCACAAAGCGCGCATTTCAGGTGGTAACTGAAAACTGGCAAGTTCCCGGTGACTCTAGCATGACTCCGAACATCTGAAAGTTGGAAAATGCTGCTTGTATGCTGAAACATTATACAGTTATCTGAATGCACAACTGCTTTGATTCCACCACTCTACTTTAGATGGAGAGAGGTAGACAGAAATCGCTTTTTGTGATAACATAGGTGAGTGGGGGTGTGGGAAGGAGAGGAGGACAGAGGGCTGGGTACCTGAAGACATCACTCAGTTTCAGCATTCCCCATCCTGGAAACAATGAAGGAGGAACCAACACTAACAGGACTGTTTTTTTAATTATTATTATTTAGAGAGAGAGATTTTTGCCATACAGCATGTGCACTTACCAGATAGAGACAGAGAGATAGAAAGTGAGAAATCACCCCTCAGGAGGATGGCCACACTGCAATCCCTTCTTCTCCATTCTCCTCTAGGGATCTTGGGCACGCACAGGCGCCTGGCATGAGTTTCAAGCCATCAGGTCCAGGACTCAAACAGTGGTGGACTACATGGGAGTCCAGCGACATAATCACTACGCCATCTACTGGTCCCAGAGGGCTTTATAAATCTCTCCTACTTAGGTTCCTGGAACACCTAAGAACTGAGTAAAATAACACTCATCATCGAGCCTTTAAAAAGTCGCATTTCATGGTCCAGGGATGAATTCCTTTGGGCCAATGCTTGGGACCCTAGTTTCAGAAGAAGGTAATACCTTGATCCTGACCTGAGAATCGGACCTCTATGGATTACATAGTTCAAGGCAGGTTCTTCACCCTTTTCTGGGTCTTATTTTTAGAACAGCTTTTTCCCAAAACGTACCTGCAGAACTGATTTGTAGTTGATAAATATTTAAAAGATCATGAAAACAATGAACATTTTACTGTTGCTACCTTCAAATGTAAAGAAATGAATAGAGAAACCTCTGACTGTTAGCTTTTTGGACAGGCAGGGAGGGTGGTGGAAAGACACTCTTCCTGGTTTCGAGGGATGGAGCACTGGCCACCTCCAGTCATTTCCTTCATTCATTTAGCCAGTCAACACAGGTTCACTCATCCAGCACCCTCCGTCCCAAGTATCTTAGACCCAAAGGCACTAAGTACCCTGGCACCACTCCAAGTAACAGTCTCGCTTTCACTTTCTCTTTCTTTCTTCCTAACATTTATTTTTTTAAATAATTATTTTATTTTAACTTTATTTATTATTATTGTTACTTTCCAGTTTGATCATACAGACACAGAGAGAGATTCCACCACTCTACTTTAGATGGAGAGAGGTAGACAGAAATCGCTTTTTGTGATAACATAGGTGAGTGGGGGTGTGGGAAGGAGAGGAGGACAGAGGGCTGGGTACCTGAAGACATCACTCAGTTTCAGCATTCCCCATCCTGGAAACAATGAAGGAGGAACCAACACTAACAGGACTGTTTTTTTAATTATTATTATTTAGAGAGAGAGATTTTTGCCATACAGCATGTGCACTTACCAGATAGAGACAGAGAGATAGAAAGTGAGAAATCACCCCTCAGGAGGATGGCCACACTGCAATCCCTTCTTCTCCATTCTCCTCTAGGGATCTTGGGCACGCACAGGCGTCTGGCATGAGTTTCAAGCCATCAGGTCCAGGACTCAAACAGTGGTGGACTACATGGGAGTCCAGCGACATAATCACTACGCCATCTACTGGTCCCAGAGGGCTTTATAAATCTCTCCTACTTAGGTTCCTGGAACACCTAAGAACTGAGTAAAATAACACTCATCATCGAGCCTTTAAAAAGTCGCATTTCATGGTCCAGGGATGAATTCCTTTGGGCCAATGCTTGGGACCCTAGTTTCAGAAGAAGGTAATACCTTGATCCTGACCTGAGAATCGGACCTCTATGGATTACATAGTTCAAGGCAGGTTCTTCACCCTTTTCTGGGTCTTATTTTTAGAACAGCTTTTTCCCAAAACGTACCTGCAGAACTGATTTGTAGTTGATAAATATTTAAAAGATCATGAAAACAATGAACATTTTACTGTTGCTACCTTCAAATGTAAAGAAATGAATAGAGAAACCTCTGACTGTTAGCTTTTTGGACAGGCAGGGAGGGTGGTGGAAAGACACTCTTCCTGGTTTCGAGGGATGGAGCACTGGCCACCTCCAGTCATTTCCTTCATTCATTTAGCCAGTCAACACAGGTTCACTCATCCAGCACCCTCCGTCCCAAGTATCTTAGACCCAAAGGCACTAAGTACCCTGGCACCACTCCAAGTAACAGTCTCGCTTTCACTTTCTCTTTCTTTCTTCCTAACATTTATTTTTTTAAATAATTATTTTATTTTAACTTTATTTATTATTATTGTTACTTTCCAGTTTGATCATACAGACACAGAGAGAGAGGGAAAGTGAGAAAGCAAGCCACCAGATTCAGGACTTGAACCACTGTTGGCCATGTGGGAGTCCAGCGCCTTTAACCACCACGCCATCTGCCGGTCCCTCTAACATTTAAAGAGCTATAGAGAAAAATGCAAACTCACCAAAAAACAGTAACTCAGAGCACACATCAGTCACTCCAGCAGGAAGGAACCAGGCCTGAGGCAGATGCCAGTGAAGGAGCCCCCATAACTAGAGAGCCTGGGGAACCTGGAACTGCCACTGCGAAGGCCAGTCCCTTGGGCTTTCTGGCCCGGTTTTACCGGCATATGGAAGCAGGGAGGGGGCTGGAATACAGTATCCCTCAGTTCCCTTTCAGACCTAAGCTGCTGCTTTTCTACAACCCTAAGTTCTGTGTCCTGTAGTTCACGCTTTAAGGAGGTGTTGTGGTGTTCTCCATTCCACCCACTCCCCTCTCAGACTCCTGGTCCAGATGAGTTTAAAGTTCTCTGGTTACCCCAGGTATGCCGGTTCTCAGACACAAGCTTTCTTCGATTTTAGGAAACATTCGTCCATGCATTCCTTCTGCACTGACTACAGCTTTCTTTACAAAGCCCTGGGCACAGGGGGAAATCTCATTTAAGTAAAAACAAGTAGAGAGCTTATTGGTCGGTCCCTGAAGCAAAGAGTCGAAAGGTCAGAGGGGATATAAGCTTTTCTAGCAAGAGAGCAATGCTAGCCCCTTAGTGCCACGTATGGGCGCTCTCGCACTTCATGCCAGTGCTCTGCTTTCCCACTCCAGCAGGGGAGGTAGGCTGTGCGCAGGTGCAGGGTCCAGAGACAGCAAGTTGAGAACTGCGGGTACCTAGAAGACCCTAGTCCCCGGGTGCGCGCAACCTACGCAGGAGAACGCTGCCCTCTAGCGACCAAAGTGCGAGACGCAGCGAGGCCTGAGCGGAGGAGCCGCGTCGCGGAAGGTCCCCCAGACAGTTGAAATGGTGGCGGGACCTTGCCCAGAACACAAATGGGGCGAAAGCCCTGGAACTCTTTCTCGACGTATGGACTCTGTGACTGTTATTCACCCCCGGGGCCAGGAGGAAGGGAGGCAAATCTAATTGGACGGATAAATAAACAATAGATGTAAGGCGGGTGGAGGGTAGACAGACAGAAAGGATGACAGATGGTCAAAATTGTGTTCTGAGGGTTTCCTACATGCCAGGTACCAGGCGAAGTGATTTATGCACCATTTCATTTGATTCTCTCCGGAGCCCTCGGAAAAGCATTCTACCTCTGTCCCTAACGTCCAAATGAAGAAACTGAGCCTGAGACAATGCAAGCAGCTTGCCTTTCCGCAGCATTTTGCAAAGCCAGGAAGTGGGGGGCGTGGGGAGGTGGGTCTCAGCGGACCTCCCCAGCCGCGGGCGGAGAGGATGCGCTCATGCCAAGTCCGGGCACAGTGTCCCTCATCGCTCCCTTGCCACTACACTGCGGGCGCGCGAACGTCACACCCGCCCGCGTCCCTTCTCTCTCATCAGACACCCGAGGACACCCTGGCAGCGTGCCCGAGGCAGCGGGGGTCCTCGGCTGGGGATCCTGCCCAGGGGGCTGTGTAAGGATGGGTCCCTCTGCGGGGGCTGAGCAGGGCGCGCAGTCACCAGAAGAAACCCAGATTTTACCTCTTCTCCGCCTGGATAGGGGTCACACTAACCGAAGGAGGAAAACTCCGTACCGAGATTTTAAGACTCCCCGAAAGTTTCAATTATCCCTTCCTAAAACCACTAATTGAGCGCCTATTAGTTAGACGCTGCAGCCAGACACTGGGAATCAAGGTGGATCTATGACGCCCTTCGGGGCGGCTGGAATTGGTGCCAAGGGCACCCGCGCGGGCCCCCTGGGAAGGGGCGGGCCAGGGGCAGGGTCAGCAGCTCCCTGAGTCTCCAGCGTACCCAGAAATCTAAGGCGTCCCCACCTCGGCTCCCTCCCCAGAGCCTGTACCCCAAGGTATTTGAATCTGTAATATGCGGTGACACTTGAGCGCATCCACTCCCTCCCCAAACTTCCTAAGGCCTTGGGTTTGTCACCGGCGGTGAGGTGAGCCACCAGGCACCCACCGCCCCCACCTCGCTGGGGAGCGGCACGTGGACCAGCCGGGACAGACCCCTCCCGCGAAGGCGTCGGCGCGGGGCTGGCGTAGGGCCCGCG